AGGCTTTGGACAAAACATTCCCTATCTTCCTCTCAGACCAGGCTTGGCATTGATCACTGATAGCTGGTGCTTGTGAGTTGATTGCTTTGTGTTATACCACTCTCACTAGAATAAAGTTGGTGTTAAGACTGATTCAAAATTCTGCAACTTTGCTTTGGATTTTCCCTGAATTCAGAGTTTTGAGTCCTGGGTTGCTGTCTTGTCAGTGGCATGCCTACTTACCAACAACCCTACCCATTTAAATAACAAATTCAGTTGGTCAAATAAAAATTAATCATCAGGTAATGCCAGGTCAGGTGCTGTGAAGTAGGATTTACAAAACGTCCTTGATATTGATGCAATATTTTGATAAATTCCAGATCCATGCGCCTTCTGGAATTCAATCACATCATCATATCTTTAGGTCGCCAGGTCAAGATTAGCCTTGTGTACATGAGGAACATGTGGGAATTACTGTAAGTGTTCAAGGCAGCATGTGTGCTTTGATATCTGTAAAATTTCCGATAATCAAACATTAAATTCCATTTCTTCCCCATCTTTAACAGTTGTGTTGCCTATCTTAACATCATTTAGTATTATTATTAATTATTATATAAAAAGCAAAAACGACACCAATTGTTTATCATCATCAAGAATCTTATATAATAAATACCAAGAGACAGAAAAGTTCTGCTCCGCGTTTTGATTTCAACAAGACATACATTTATATAAAATAATAAAAGTCCACATCAATACATTTATAAAATAAATAAAAATGCAATAAAATAAAAATAGTCTACCTCTCATCGTCAATAAACAACACATTATCTTCTTTAGAGAACTAACACTCATCATATCAAACCAAACAACATTTATGTTTCCTTGTCTTAAATTTTTTTTTAAAAAAAAAATCATGCAGATCAACATATCCACTGATTTCTGCAAGGTTACACCATTTCAGACTGTTTTTAGGGTATATTGTTGAAAATTTTGGTATTAGTACATTTTTTGCTGCCTTGATATGTGTAACCAGCTCCTCAATTTGTTATTTTTGGAGTAAATATGTAAATATCCCTATTTTACATTCTTTTGAATTCTACTAATACCAAACCAATCACTTTTATTAGTAAACCAATCACTTTTTTATATATACATATACAGTGAGTAGGATCTCGTAGGATTGCAAGTAGTTAGTTGAAGGAAATTTTATTTTGTAATTTTGTAATTTGCTAATTTTTTTTTAAATTTTATATTGTAGTAGTAACTCAGACATATAAAATAATATATATAACTATTATTAAAAAATTACTTTTATTATTATTTCAAATATGACTATTTTCAAAGATGACAATTCTCAAAGAAAAACAAAACAAAACTGGATTATAAAATAATATATATATATACTTTTTATTATTATTTCAAGGATGACAGAGAATCCTCAAAGAAAAACTAATATATAGACATAATAAGCAGGTAAAGAAGTAATATATTTATTTATACTTTACAGTATATATATACAACTATTATTAAAAATATAAGGAAAAACATCTCAATTCTATTTTATTTCAAAGAATCCTCAGAGAAAATCAAAACTAGATAGATAATAAAGTGTATTACAATTAATATAAATAATAGGTACACTTCATTGCATATTTAATAACATTAAAGGTTGATCATGATGTAAAATTCAATTTATATGTGGAAGGGATATATAGGCATATGAATATTTAATATCATTCAAAATGATGTGAATGTGTTAATATTAGATGGGAAATCTACATTTTTTTGTAGGAAAAAAAACATGCATCATAATTGTTTCATTTATAGTTTTTGAAGTGCATTCTGCTTCATATTTGGTTAATTACTCGCCCAATGCAAAGAGGAAAAATGTTTGGGATTACTATTTATTATGATTTTATGCACACATTTTATATCATAAAAAATTCATATTCAACTAACTACATTGGATGTTGACCATCCTAAAACATTTTTAATTTGAAAAATAAAATTTTTTATTAATATTAATAAAGAAAACAAAATTCCTATGAGATTAAAAATGAGAAGTTTATAATGTATATATACTAATACTGTATAAAAATTGAAGTTTTGTAAAAGATCATCAAGCCAATAAAATTTGATTTTTGCGTGATTTTTTAGAGGGTGATCATTGTAAAATTTAGCCAATGAAATCAAAGTTACAATGTGATAAGTGAATGTCCATTGTGCTTTTTTTCCCCTACATCGATTTATTCTTTGAATTCCTGATCATGCTATTAATAAATTTACCAAATGAAATTTTATTAGAAATTTTCCATAAAGTTTTTTATTGTGTAAAGTAAGAAAGTTTCTTAAAAATTTATTCAACTATTAATCATCAAATATAATATAACAATAAATTTTTTTGTAGATATGAAGATTCTAATAAAAAGTAATTATCGATTATGATAATATAAGTAGAAATTTTGAAAAATATATTAATTAACGTTATTGTCATTGTTATTGTTAAAAGATATTTCACAAGCTTTAAAAATCTTTGTAAATTAATGAGTGTTTGTAAATTATGGAAAGAATTGGTGCAAAAGGTGATTAGTGAACATCTTAATCTTATGCATAAAGAATGTTGGAAATTTGGTGTAAGAAAATTCAAATTTTAACTTATGGTTTTATTTTTAATATTAATTTTATTCCTTTTGTTTTAAAAAAGAATTTTATTTCTTCCTTTAGTTTAGATTTGAAATTAAAGAATCATCGTTTGAATATAATACTTTTTCAACATCATTTAAATATACCCCTCCAATAATTGAATACGAGTTTAGTAATGAATCTTCAACCATTATTTTTGATCCTGATAATGAATTATTTCCACGTCAATACACTTTGCTTCTTTTATCAAGTCAATTGTCAAAGAAAAAAAATATCTCAACGATTGAATATCACAATCTTGACGCATATAATCTTTTGCTAAATAGTACTTCATCATCATCATCATCATCATCATCATCATCGTCATCAAATAATGATAAATTGCCAAAACTTAAACCAAATGTTACTCAACGAATTAATTTCATCAATGATGAAAGTATTGAATTGTTATGGAAAGTCGAAGAAATATCTACGGCTAGTGTTCCAGCCAAATATGATGATTATAATAGTAAAATGAATAAAAAAAAAGAAAAGAAAGAAATTTATAAATTTAAAATTAAGAAATTTAATTGTTTGGCTTTTAGGATTTTTTTAACTATGGATAAATATCAAAGGAAATATTTTTGATTTCTTGAATATAATAATCTTTTAAATTTTTTTTTATTCAATCAAAATAATAAAAACTTTATTTTACATATTATTCATCAAATCAATTTATTGAGAATCTATATTAATATAGTCAACGTTGATGTAATATTTACATCAAAGCTTAAAATCATCATTTGTAATTATTAACAATTGTATTATTCTGCTAGTGTAATAATATTTGAGATGAGCGTTTGTGGCTATTGTTGAAGAATCATCTTAATTTGCTGTTCTTTAAAATAGCTAGAATGGCCATTTAGTAATTATTAGGTGAATTATGCCAAAAATCAATAGCTATTCTAACTTCTTAGACATTCGTTAGATCCGGCAGCATACACCCAACTAAATATAAAATTTGATAGTATTGTTTGTCTTGACCCTGCATTGTGTTGATGCTTCGAAACTATATAATATTAATAAATATCTGACCGGATGGTCACGTGGATATTATTTTTTAAAATTGCAATTTTCATATAATATTAAATCAATCAATCTATAGATAATTAAATGAACCAAGATCTTTAGTTCTAGATCTGGGATGAGATCTGGATGAGTGAATTGGAATTATAAGTGTGCTAAAATGACTTGTAATGTGATACGGTTCTAAATTTCGTTCTTTTATTGTATATTTTTCTAGTTCTTCCAGTTCTCTTTTAATCATCAAATTTATATTTTGCCTTAACAATTCAATGTTCCTTTTTATATTTTTTATAAAATGTGATTTTCAAAAAATTCAACAAATGTCGATTTGCTACATGTTGTGAACAATGGTATTTTGATTTTTACTAGAGGGATTCGACGATATGCTGTATAGGTGAACCTTTGGTCGACTAAGTAAAAAAATCATTCATCGCTTACATATATATATTAATATTAATAAGTTTTATATATTTAAACTTGATATTTAAAAAATTCACTAATCATAAAATGCATTAAAATGACCTTAATATCAATTGTTTCCTAATGTTTTTCTTAGTCTATCTATCAAGTCTTTGTCTACTTTTTCCAATTTTATGTGACCATTTTAACATGTGGTACGATGTTTTTTATTAAACGGTCCATTTGATAACTCGCCGTAAAAAATTTCTTAGAGTTTAGATTTAGACTTTCCACGCGAAATAACTATATCACAGCAGGGTTTGGCCATAGTACTGGTCCATTGGTATAATATTTTAACCATATTTAATATTTTATTAATGCCAATGGACAATACCAAAACTCATTGGTCTCAGTCTATTGCCAACCCTGTATCACAGTATTTAATTACACCACGGTCTTTTGCGCCATGCTTTGACCTCGTTCGCTGTTAAATTAAATGGTATTTTAATATTTTAACAGCAAAGTGTAAAATGATATTAAATAATTGACAGATAAAACTTACTATTCAATCAACAATGAATCATCATCTATTAAATAGTCTAGGTAACTAGGCATGAACTGGTGTGAAAATGTTGTTTCATTAATGATATTAGATCTCTTTTGATATATTTCTTCGCCCAAATCTTCTTTCTAAAAAATAATAAAGTTAACAACATATATATATTCTTTATTCTAATATAATGAATTAATCATCTTGCATTTTCCTAATCAACTCATGAGTTTAAAACACTTCTTCTTTTTGATATCTTGATAAACACGATAAATCCAATATTAAAGCTTTCATTTGCATAATGTGACTCAACAAACTTCTATAATTGTAGAACAAAAGCTAAAAAGATCGAAACCACACTAAATTCCCTCTAAACTTGGCATTTCTCGAGTTTGTTATACAGATTCCTATTATTTCTCTTTATACTTTGAAGGTTAATTATATCCGAGAATAACTAGTCATCTGGTTGTAATATTACATTGTGAAGATTTTGACCAATTGTTGATAAAATCTTATTGCCTTTATTTTATGATAAATAAATGTGAAAATTTTTTAAATTTACTGAAATAAATATATAATTGTAGTTACTTGTCTTAATTTTTCATATGCAGTTGTTGTAGAGATGTTTGCTGATGGGTCAAGATCATGCAGAAATGAAACCTCTTAAGGAAAATGATTTCGAAACAATAATGTGTGTCTATCCAGATCTCTGGGGTTCGCAAAAATAAATGAATGAATGAATAAATCTATTCCTCCCTTGGTTATGTTATCACCTACTAGTGTGATGTGCATTTGCAATTAGTACAAAATTCTGCAATTTAGGAAGTTACAATTTTGGTTGCTGTCTTGTTGGGATGGCATGCCTACTAACCACATTTCCTAGATGAAATAAATGATATATAATGTTTGTTTTCAATTAACTTAATTACTATTATAACTTTTTTTGTGTCATGAAGTTGGATCCTGTTTTGTAGGTTTGGGTGAATATTTGGGCAAAAGCCCATGTCCCCTACCCAAAATTATAATTAATTTATATAGAACAAGCACTATTTTATGACTTTCCTCATAATGCCAGAACATGTGCGACCAATGTGATAAAATACTATTTCTTTTGAAGAAATCCAGCAGGCTCTTTGAAAAAGAAAGAACACAAATGCAATTTCAATAATAATAATTGCAAATCCCTCCTTGAGCTTGAAGTGAGTTGCAGATTCTCATTGCTTTTATGGATCTATATGTTCATGTGGTGCGCCTAATATTACAGCTCTTCAAAATGTTGCAACCTCCAGAATTGCAACTTCTTGGTTACATAGCCAGCCATCTTTACCCTAGAGGTAGGTTCATTGCAGGAAACTTTTCAGTTAGTATGCATATCCAGGTAATATCAGCTCAGGTACTGTGAGGAAAGATAGGTAAGATTTGATACAGCTTTGATAAACTTCAGTGCCATGTTACCCCTCCCTGGAATTTTCAATTGCATCATCATATCACTGGGAATCTTGATCAGATTAGCCTTGTGTACACGAGGAATGTGTGTGAATAACTGTAATGTATTCAAAGTAGCATGTGTGCCTCAACATTTGAAAATTTCCAACAATCAAACATTATATATTGAATGTTTCTTTTGAAATAGTCATGTTGCCTTGACATTTTCTTGTAATAATATATTTAATATTAATATTAATATTATTAAAATAAAACGATACCAATCGTTTATTATTTTGATAAGAATAATTACCTAAAGAGACAGACAGGTTCTGTTCCACGTTTTGATTTCAATAATCTACATTTATAAAATAAAAGGCACATACCAATACATTTATAAAACAATAAAATCTTCTACTATTATTAATAAATAGCATCTTGTCTTTTTTAGGAAAGCCATATCAGACAAACATTCACATTTCCTCATCTTGAACTTTTGTCTAAAAAATTAATCGCGTCCAGGGAATTACATGACAAAATTTGGTAATGATTTTCTTTTGAATAGAAACACACCAAACTCCAAAAAAAGGGTTTTGAGAAAATCAAAAAAAAGATCTGCATTTCAAGCTAAAATTAATCTCCGTGATGAAATGTATAGAGTGAGTTTGGTGTGTTTCCATTGTGAACCTTTTTATTGAAGAACTTTTATTATTAATAAAAAAATTAAATAATACAAATAAATCAAACGAAAAAATTTTGTTGTACACAATATACTTGGTCTCAATCTCTTAAACATATAACAAAATTTGGAATTTTCAAAATGCTAAAGCTCTGCCAATTTTTAGTTTAAGGAAAAACTAGCCGATAAGTTTTTGAAGCTTGAGTCATGTACAATAAAACTTACCGGTTAATTTTTTTGAAGCTGACAAATTGTCGCTATATATTATTAAACAATTAGATGATCTGCACCGTACAATTTGTTATTATTATTCCTTTCAAATGTCATCCATCATCATCCATCAATGATGAAGGAGAGGGAGAGAGAGTATTTTATAGGATGATTGTATTAAGAGCTACTCTAGTTTATAGATGGTATTGATTGTGACGCCGCAACGCGTCACTTTAGTTTAATGATTATGGCACTGCGACGCGTCATTCTAATTTCTTTAAAATGGTTATTTTTTATTATTAAAACCAACGATGAAAATAATAATGATTTACTCGAGAAATTTGATGAATCATCCATCATCTTCTGAAAAGCATTAATGATTTTCCGATCGTTAGAGCGTTGTCCGTCGGACACACTAAATGTTATAAGAGGATTTTTAATTGTGACTGGAGAGTTGAGGAAATGGAAAGTTTTTTCATCAACTGGGATCTTTATTTACAAAGAAAAAGAAATAGACTTGATAAAATAATAAAAACAACCGATTTTTAGTGAATTCATAAAAAGTATGTTATTTGTCTAGTAAATTATTTGATCCGAGTTCTTAGCCGGTTAAGGTTTTCTACCGGCTGACATCACTAATTGTAAATTTAGTAAATTATAATTTATTCATATTTATCATATATTTATATTTACTTTATTATATTTAAAAAATATAATAGTTTATTGAAAAATAATGTAACAGTTGATTAATTGAATAATATATTATTTAAAAAGATTTTATTACTGCTATTAATACTACTGCTGTATATTATTATCGCATTAATTAAAATTTTCTTTTCCAAAAAAAATAGATTTAATGTTAAAAATTTTATTTTAAACATTTGAATCTTTTGTAAAGTTTTTTATAGCACATAATATAAAGAAAGTAACGTAATAATAATTTAAACATGGAAAGTTCTTGCGTATATAAATTATTTACATAAATATCTTTATTTGTTAGTTAACAAGATTTGTTACGATGTAAAAAATAATAATCCTACTAGACAATGAATGGAATAGTAAGGATAATTTAATGGTGTAGATAATGCTTTAGTTAAATATTAAATTAATTAAATGAGAAACTTAATAATAAAATAAAATAATAAATAAATTATATATCTAAAGTATCCTATGTCTTGTATCTTTTATATTTTTTAATTCACCTTGGATGATTTTAATATCATCCTTTAATCCACCAATATGTTTTTTAAATAGTCCATTTAAAAGTTTAAGATTTACTAGATCGTCATCACTGTCGTCATCGTCATTGTCATTGTCATCATCATCACTATCATCATCACTATCATCATAATCGTCAACACCGTTGCCACCAATATTCCTTTTATCGTCTCCAGTACCACTGCCACTAGCACCACTATTGCTAACACTTGCTATAACATTACTACTGCCACCACCACCACTGCTAAAACTAGCAACACTAACTCTAGCATCACTATTACGATTGAGGCTAATACTATTATTACCATCACCACCCTGATCACCACCCTGATCATTATCTTTTTTGTTAACATTAATATTAATTTTACTTTTGCTTTTCTTAGTGGTGGTAATAGATTTTTTTATATTAAATATATTTTTGCTTTTAAAATTCGTTTGAAGTTGCCAATCTTCAATTTCATCAGGATCCGCCTCATAATATATCAATCCTCTTGAATGCATGGATTTATTATATGTGCTCATATTAAAACATTCAATTTCTGCCAAATATTCAGCTCTTAATTCTAGCCATGCTCTTTTACCATTCTCCTTTGCTCTTGTAAATATATCACCCATCAAAGCAATAAGAAGATTCAGTAGAACTATTGTTGTTGATAGAAAGAATAAAACTTTTAAAATATTAACATATACATCACCCGACCATGGATCAATTGCAGACTACGATATTAGATAAGTAAAAAATCAATAAGCATATTTATTTAATTGATGATAAATTGATGATAAATTGAGAAAATACTCACAAAATCTCCTGCTAAGAAATAAATTACAGCCGCAAGTGATGAATCATAGCCATTCCACATATTATCATTTGGTGCTTGTTGCAATGTTATATCACCGGAAGATGTTGATGTTGTAATATTTCCATTGTATGATGAACCAGAAGGCATAGGGAGATCCTCAAGATACAATTTAAATGCATGTGTAAATGCCACAATTCTAAAATAAAGTAAAAAAATATTTTTTTTAGAATATCAAAATAAATTTAATTGCATGAACAAATAAAATATTCATTATATAATTACACTATAGCCAATACAACCAAGAACCATGTAATTTTTCTAACGACTTCAATTATAATATTTATAAAAACACCCAAAGCTTCAAAAATTCTTAATTGTAACAACTAATTATAATCAAAAAAAAAAAAAAAGAATAATAATAAAAGCGAAACATAATTATTCATATTTTTAAAAAAATTAATAATTGTAATAATAATATATAATAGAAGTTAATATAACTAGTACAAACCAAATGAATCCAGATCAATAATCCAGAGGAAGCTTCCAACGCTCTTAAATCTGGTTCTTTGTCTATATAATACAAAATCGATATGATTAATGGTAAAAAATAAACTCCTATATCAATCCAATTATAAAAAGATCTGAAATATTTTAATCTTGCATAAATTAATTGCTCTGCTTCACGATATAAAAAAAACAATGCCAGTATTATTACAATAGAAAACTCCCATTTTTTTCTATCTGTTAAAGTTACAACATATATAGTGTAATACAAAATATGAACAAAAAGGTTCCACAAAAAATATCTGCGTCCGAATGCATTCCATTTCTAATTAAATATAAATATATAAATGCATTTGGTTATTAAGTATAATTGAAATTATTACATATTTATGTTTAATAATTATTAAAAAATACCTGATTTGATACAACTTGCATCATTTTTCCATTAAAAATGGTTTTATCATTTTTGAATGCTAAATCTGAAAATACTGAATGGGATCTATTCCATATATTAAATCTTCCGGCACATCCTGATTCTATTTTTTCTTCGTAATCATACTCAAGAAGCCCTTTATCAAACAAAGATAATATCTTAAATTGTTAATGCTAAATAGATAATAAATTTAGAAGAAAGGGGGAAAAGAAGAAAATGTTCTTTAAATAATACCAGGTAATGGAAGTACACATAATTTAACGGGATGTGATTTAGTATGTGTCAATTTTCCAAGGAATTCATCCAATACATATAAAGGTTTTCCAAGTATTCTAGTATATTTCAACCAGTATTTGAATAATCCATAATGGTGTTTTTGTAAGGAACCATTAAAAGTAAATGCATATAAATATTCGTTATTGCTGCGCTCAACCCCACCAGTTCGATAGTTTCCATCATGTATTTTTCCTAATGCCGTTTTAACTTTGATAAACATGACTTTGCTGATAATTTTTTGTACCAAATCAGGGTATGATTCACATAAGCTTGACAGACAAGGAACAATTGTTCTCAACCATCCTGGGTCATGATTTTTAATTGCTTTTTCAACATAATAATTTATCAAAGCTGACACTATTGTTGTTTTATGAAATTCTATAGCAATTGATAATGATGATTTCTTCTTCTTTTCTATGTCATAAAAATGAGGAACATATTTACCAGTGTGTAATGTGTCCAAAATTAGCTGATCAGATAAAAAAAATTTATATAAAAAAATATAATAATGAAGTAAGTAAATAAACAGCAAGTAAATAAGCAAAAAAAAATAAGCAATTAAATGTATATAAATGTAATAATCAATACATCTTCGAATCCAGCAATGATTAGATATGCCATTGGAGATTTATCATCATACATTCGATTAAATAGATGCACATCTTTTAATAGATTTCTGAGATCTTGCTTTATAATTGCAGATGTTAATCTGATCCAATTAGACCAAGGTTTAAAAGCTGAATCACTGACATTTGAAGGTTTTACACGCGAATGTGATGAATAAGTTCCCAAAAATTTACAATAATAAATTATAGATTCATAGCAAAAATCTTGATGATCGCTTGGTAGAATCACTTTGAATTTATTATCCATCTGTGTGGTAACCAACAAATAACAATTCGTTTCATTATTTTCACATATGTTAACATCAATTATTTGATCATTAGCACAACAAGACCATATAAATATTAATTTGGGGTCTTCTGTTGTATAAATTTGAATTGTGTGAGCGCCAAAAATCAAAATCTTTTTCGAATCATTTAACAAATAAGCACCAAGACCATCCTTTAAATTCCAAGGCTCAATTGATATGCTAATAGAATTTGAACCCCTTTGCATCTCAAATACACCACGTGTTGACCACCACTTCACATTATTTTCTGCATAAACAATCTCACTTGGAGCCTTTCTTGGTATATTGGACATTGGAAAATCTTTACTTTTTTCACCGAAATTATACAAAATTGGTTTGTTACCTTTACACATAACTAATATGCCTCCATCTACAGCTCTAAATGAATATGCTCTGCCAAATGACTCTGGAACTCTGTGTAAAAATTGACCATTATAAATGTCTATAATCCATGCTTGACCTTTTTCTGCCTCCTCGACAACTATTCTATAATTATCAAGAAAACCATAAATCCTTGAATAACTACAAATATTTCCTGGCATTGGTAGTTGCAAACCACTTTCAATTAAAAATGCTTTCAATATTCCCGATCTACTAATAAGTGCTAATATTTTTTTATTTTCAGAAATCGAGTATGTTGTATACATGTCATCTGTAATTGGCTGTAATTGACCTTCTTGACATAAAAATCTCATATGAACATGACCTAGATTAAAAAAATATTATTTTTAGTATGATAAGTAAGAAAATAATAATAATAAATTATTGTTAATTACCAGATTTAATATCCCATGCTGTTAATACATTTGAATCTTCTTCGGCTATCAATAATTCGCCATGTAATATATTTTCTAAAATCTATATATATATAAAATAAGTCAATTATTATAAATAAATAAATTCCTGATAATTACTTACTATACTTTGAACTGATGTTGTCTCATAAATATTTCTTATAGAATTTACAATGCTTGTTAAATCAAGGCTAATTAATCCAAACATTGGGTTAAAAAAACATAAAATAACAACAATATTATAAATGATAATTTTATAAATGATAAATAAATAAACCAATTAATATCAATTAATCATTACCTATGTTTTAATACACAAAATAGACCTTCAAGTTCAAAGTAATAAAGTCGGGAAACATTATATATAATGAAATGATTGTTTTCAGTAAAGTACACGGCACCACATGTATTACGAAATAAAGGATGATAATATGGACGGCGATGACCTGCTTTAAGCAGTAAACATTGGGATGAATAAGAAGCTACTCCATCCAAAGTAAAAGGGTGCATTTTAAAATAATCGGTCGTTTGTGAAATTACGAAACAGCTTAAAGCCAAATCACCAACATCTGATACTGCTATTGATATACGTTTAGTATGACTTTGGTTACGAGTAAAATATGCGTGCTTCGGTCTATCGCTAGTTTTCCAAGAATCGATCAAATTCAATGAAGGGTCTGATTTAATCTCCCAAATACAAATAACTCCATCTTCTTCACTATAAGTTCCAACATATTTGCCATTAAGACTTAGACTAAGATGCTGAATTTTTGTTTCGTGATGATAGATTATTTTGTTATCCATCAATTCAGGTTCTATTGGATAATATGTTTGCATTCTATTAAAGGAATCTTTATTAATTGGTAAGGTTGCTCTTCTTTTTGGTGCGCTTTTTAATATATCATCTATATCATGAACCTATCAAAAAAAATAATTTTTTTAAAGAAATTTATATATATATATCATCAAAATTAAATGATGGAAAGCAAACTTACGCGTGGTATATGACTTTCATCGCAACGTAAGAATAAAGCTGTTGTATTATGAAAACTTATTGGCCTAAAACAAACAATATAAATCAATTAATAAATAGATTTGATGGATTGTTAATAATAATTAAATATTATTATTATGCATAGAAGTAATAAATACCAAGGTGGTAAAAGACCCTGTACATTATTTATCAATTTCTTACGCCTTAGAATATCATATACTAATACCCAAAAATGACCACTAAACTCGTTACGTCCACAAATTAATAATTTCAAAGAAAAGTTTTTTTGATTTTTCCTCTCAATGAAAGAAACCAATGATATCGAGTGATCATCGTCACCAATATCATCATGTAAAAGTCTTTCAAAAATTATCGAACCATCCTCAAGCGAATAAACTGTTGCCATATCGTTTGTACCGACAGTTACTAAATAATCATTTTTTGGTGAAAGTGCATATATGTACCAAACACCTTCTATACGTTTGATTTTAAACTCTTTTATAATACTGTTAGAAATAATGTTAAATACTTTAACCATTTCAAAATCTTCTGTCCATATTAAATGATCCGAGTCTATTGATTGTTCCTAAATAAATATTTTAAAAAGTAATTTAAAAGACACGATTTAAAAAATATGGCTTAGAAAATAATGGATAATATTTATGTTTACCAAAATATAAGTTTGATATGTTATAGATAAATCTTTGGTTAGTTTATTGAAAGGGATTTCATATTCATAAATTTTAGACCAATCAATTGCATTAAACACATATAATTTGACAGAATCAAATATTGCTAATTGATCCTGATCACTTAAAAATCTAACAAAGCCTCTCGTTTTTTCGTCAAATGTATGGGGACTGTAACCGTCCATTTCCGAGTTTCCTTCAGAATTAAAATTAACTATTAAAGTAGTATGAGTTGTGCCGGTTTTTTTATTTGTTATCAGTAAATCTCTTTGTTCATGATTTTCATTTGGTATTGTTATACATGAAACAGCAGCTTTGCATGAATCTGTTAATGATAAAGTTACTGACTCATTATTATGTAACTCTGGAAATGTGATTGGAAATGTTTGCCACAAAGTGATAATTGGTGCGGTGCGTGGTGGATTGTCCACTTTCCATAATCCAATTGCTATTGTGTCAATTGTTAATACCCATTTTGAATTACTTGATATTGTAACTCCTTTGATTTTATCAACATGGGGTGTACTGCTTAATAATCCAATATCATTATTAGAAAAATCGACATTATCATTATGATAATCTTCATAATCATAGAAGAAATTATCATCAGCTTTATTAATTGATATTTTAATATCGTTTACACTCCTCTCAATATTCTCATGATCCAATATAATATCACTGGAATCTTCTTTGGTATGACTATCGGTTTTAAGTTTTACTATACGGACATTTTTGCTTTTTTTTAAGGACATTCTGAAAGTTTAAGAGAAAAATTTTTAATTACTTTTTTCAATAATATAACGAAAGTGTAATAAACTCGCAATCAAATAATTTTTTTTTTATGGTCAATTTGTCCGAATTTTAATGAATGGCGCTTTTTACTTTTTTCAAAGCCCCTGGTTTTTAATGTACATTAATAGTTAGGTGCTATGTCGAACTTTGTTTTCAATACTATAATTCGTTAAACAATAAATCGGTTTTGTACTGCATCATATTACAATCCAACCAAATTTGATTTTCTTTCTAAATTTGTACTAGAGTTTTCCCGCGCCTAATAAATCTTGGCAATTGTGAAATTGTGGAAGTGATTTGTAAGGGTTAATTTTCCCATTTATCATTCATTATACAATGAAAAAATGTTCATACTAATACTAATACAAGAGGGTGGAAAATTTAAAGGAAATCATTGTGATTGGGAAAATATCACATAAAAGTATTTTAAAATTGGTATATATATATATATATATTAATAATAATAATATTGTTATTTATGACGATCTTATTTAAAAAAAAAAAAATGCACATATATGTGTTGTGATACATGACTCAGCTAAAATTTTACATCTCGGAGTTTGAATTCGTGGTATATAACTCCTTCGAGACATAATTGAGTTTGCTTTGTAAAAAAATGTATTCTTCTTGATAAATACTTATGCAGAAAAAAAGTTGTAACGGTGATCTTTTTAAATTCAAGCCATATCCGTGTAACTTGAAATTTTTTTTTATCCCTTAAACGGTTAATCGGCTATTGATAGCCGATAAAATTTTTTTGATATAAAAAATTTTTTCTGATCTTTGAGATTCAGCCATTAATCTATCAATAAAAATCCAGTTGTCCCTGTGGTTTTTGTAAAATCCTCTTTAAAAGTTGGTCGATTGACTGTTTTTACTCTGCTGATCGTTAAATTGACCAATAAGAATGATCAAAATTTTAATTTGTGTTACCATTAAAGAATAATAAAGGATGGAAGACGATTTCGAAGTTGTAAGAGGTAACTATTCCCAAGTATAGTCCTCCACTTCAAGTGAAGTTTATTTTCAAGTGTATTTTCCACTATTTCCCTTCATTTAAAAATAATGTCTCTTCTTTTCTCTGTACATACCTACCTTATGTGTATAAATTTATTTATTAAATATAACTTATTAATGATTAGAGTGTTGAATCCATTTTTGTGGGAGGTTCCAATCATACAGATAAAAACACATCTTATTTTGAAAATGGATGAATTCCAATTGAGGTATTCACACATAAAAAAATTACATGATAAAAAGTAAAAATGTTCACACATATCCACTTCCATAATTATGCTGAGGCTGGATCCTTTTATTATAGGTACAACAATTGTATATAGTTATCATGATAACCAGGAAATACAATTACATTTTCAGCTGCTCTATACATCAGGATCTTAAATTATAAAATTGCATCGCGATGTAAAACGGGTACCATTGCACAACTTTATTTCAAGATGCATCGAGTTTTATTGTATTAAAAATTAATAAAAATAAAAAATATATATAATTATAATATAACCGTTCTGGCAGCACAAAATTTTAATCATGCAATTATTGATTGACCAACTGACCAATCAAAATCGTGAATTTGATAATGTAAAAATAAATGTTGTTAACAAATGGTTTGAATTTAAGTTGGAAGCAAGCATGTGACAAACCTTTGAATAGTCTAATAAATTAAATTGTACTACTCGAAAATGTATTTAAAGGGTTGGTTTTTGACTTGGTTGAGGAATAACTCTCCTCCTGACCGTATCTCTTGATATAATCAAAATAACCTTAATATAATGAATGTTGACAAAATGATTGTAAACACAACCAACGTTTAAGATATATGGTTAAGACAAAATATCAACAATGTATGAAAAAATCAAACAAATTTATTAATAAAAACAAAATTTACAACCAAAAAAATTTTTTTTTGCATGTTCTAATATAATTCCATTGTTGCATCATCTATTGCTGATTCAACATTACCCAGATCATCATCAACTATATTTTGTTATTTTTGATAAATTCATTTTCATTTAATCTTTTCATCATACTTTCTTTTAATGTTGACATTTTTTTTTTGATTTCAAATTGAAGATAGTCCAAGATATCAAACATTTAGATTGGCACCTTTGTAAACAATGATTGTAATAACCATGTCCCATGTGAGTATATACACTACAATTATTCAAATTAGTATAGTTAGTGTAATCACAATAAATGTAATTGCAAAAAATGTAATTGCAAAAAATGTTTGTAGATGGTTTCCTAGAAGTAACATATCAATCATTGGATGATTTGTCTCCATCCAATAAGGTTGTGGTAAAAGTCATGAAAATAATGAAGATAACAATTCTGTTCAAGGTGACCACACTTCATTTTTTTCAGAAATAATTTTACAAGGTCAATGTGAAAAAAAATAAAGGAGAATTTTAGAAAAAAAAATTTAAAGTATAAACTTACTACTATAATTTATGTTGTAAAACTAATTTCATTTAACAACATGATGTTAGTCAATATTTAAAGTTGTACAACCCAATTTAAAAGTAGTGCAATAGAATATAGCTGATAAATGCAAACCAACACAATATAAATTTAATTTTTAAGATCCTGATGAATGTGTGTCTACCCAGATCTCTGGGGTTCACAAGAATAAATGAATAGGAAGGATCTAAAAAAAAAAATTTTTCCCGATTATAAATCTGATGTTGATCACCAACATAGAGATTGGTGATTCTTTCACACCCCCCATATAACTATAGAATTTCCTTTCACAGACTAGAATATAGACTTGGCTGTACTCATGTTGGGAAGGCTTTGGACAAAACTTTCCCTCATCTTCCTCTCAGACCAGGCTTGCTGTTGCCATATGGGCATTGAGGATCAGTATTTGTGTGTTGTACTCTCTAGAATAAAGTTGGTATCTACAACTGCTCAAAATTCTGCAACTTGGGAGATTGTAACATGGGTTATTGTTTTGGATTTTCTCTGAATTCTCAGTTTTGAGTCCTGGGTTGTTGTCTTGTTGGTGGCACACCAACTTTTCAGCTAGTGTGCCAGCTAAGGTTTCTGGTCCAAACTGTTTTCTCAAAGCCCAAACTAGTTTGGGCAATTTGGGCTTCTCAACATTTTCTA